GCCGTACTCGCGGAATACGATACAGGATCTTCCTAAGGATGTTTTTGTGAACTGTGAGGTGGAGCGAGTGTGGCAGACAGTCAAGGGCGATCTCACCGAGTGGTTCAACAGTTTTCCTGAGGACCACTTTGCGCCTCATCCGCGTGTGTTGATTGGGACGCCCGGGATCGGGAGGTCGGTGGATGCCGGTTCGTACTTCCTCTACCAGCTGCTGCACTGCGATGCGGAGCAGCTCCCAATGGTTGCGCACTTTATGGTGAGTGGAGCATATCTGTTGGACATGACCGCCAGAACGGTGTCCGAATACGTGGGTGAGTCCAGCATCGTAAAGGTTGTGAAGGGTCCGTCTTGGTGCGGGGTGAGGGGGCATATTGTCTACGACGTGGCAGAGACGGATAATCGTCTGTCTACTTGTTTGCTTCCTCTTGAATGGGGCATGCTTGTGGCGATACCACCAGAGAGAAAAATATGCGGACACTGGGCGAGCGAAGGGAGAGCCGCACGAATTGTGATGAGTTGTCCTGACGAAAGCGACGCTGAGGCAATGTGCGTTTGGACGTAGCGTGATCAGCCGTGCAGCAGCAAGCGGAATGCTGGCGCGAGGTGAGGGGTCACATGGATGAAGTGGGGCCGCTTCTTCGCTACATCTTTGGTAAGCGACATTGTACTGCACTGATTGAGAAGTGCCACAGCGCTGTGGAGATGACGAACTCCCCGAGAAGCGAGTATTACTTTGGCTTTGGGATGTCCAGAATGTGGGATGATAATACGGCGCTTGAATGTCTTGCGAAGATTGTTCGAGTACGGGGCGAGCGCAATGGTGAGTCGCCCTTCAATGCACCGATATCCGCCCACCTCGGAGGCAAAATATTATGCAGGTTGGCAAAGTTAATGCGGCCGAATGATTTCAATTTGCTCGTATGGAGGCTCAGGGATTATCTCATATCCGAAAATTTTGGGAGGTGTGCCGTGTTTGCATTTTTGAATGGGGCTTTTGTGGGCGCAGTAAGGCGCAAACTGAAGGAGATGAGGCCACCAACACGACGTCAGCCACACCGCTGTGCGCTGGAGGTGTGCTCACAGGAGCGCCCCGCCAGGCACTATTTTTTACCGTCGATGTAATACCGTTATGAGAAGATTGATGTGGAGTGCGGGGTGCTGTACATACCGGAGGTTGAAAAATTTCCGCTGGAGGACGCCTTTTTCTTCACGGAGTCAAATCCGGTGACGCTGGTGGGGCTGCGGATGACTACGGCGGGTGTGCGTCACACCACCGCCAGCACCGTGGGGCAGTTTACGGAGCATCTGGCGGCATATTCTGAGGGTTGGGGGAATTATCCCGTGACTTGTCGTGGGAGATGATTTATGCGCAACACGCCGTCAGCAAAAAGATAACAAAATGGCAGAGATGTGGTGTCGTCAATTCCAATAATAAAACTGACGCTGAAAAAGAAATTGTGGCGTTCTGGAACGGAAAGTTGCACCAATACCAGTTTTCGTTAACACCTGAATTTGTAAGTAAAATCCGAGAAATGAGAATACAATAACTTTTTAGAAAAGGATAGGGAAGAAAGTTGAGAAAATAATTGGGGAAATTAGCGCATTGCGTTTGTCGTGAAATTTAACAGGGAACAATCTTCTGTACCGCTGGCCGGATCCCGAAATAATCTATATAAACCAAACAAGGTAAGGAAAAAGAGGGACCGCAGAGGCAGTTAATTGCCTCATGTTTTTCTTATAATACATATATATTCCGTTGACCACTCACGTGGTCTTTTGTACCCATATCTGAAAGATAATCACTTACGAAGTGGCAGACTTTGGGGTTCTCCAGCCACAAGACGCCGCCACTTCCCTTCGCCAAGTCCTGAAGTGTAAACACACGACCGCGTGGCATGCCGTCTGCGGGGTTTTCTGCAGACCGCACGTAGACAAAGGATACCTGTATTCCGTGAGAGTCCAAAAACTCATATATCCGTTGCAGCTCACACGTCATGGCGTGCTATTTTGATCTGCCTTTATCCGTCGCTCCTCGCAGCAAAGCGTTGTCCACCCAAACGTCCATGGTGGACGGCAAGATGGCGGAAAAGGCCGATAAGGCTAAGCGTACCGCACACGCCTCGGCCTGCATGATAAGAAAAGGCTTCCTCTTCCATTTCCCTCCGGCAATTTTAACGTCGCCGGAGTCTGGAGAATAAAAACGGCTCCCATCCCTGGAGCGATGCGTCCGCGATGATGGCGGCCGATGCCTTCTCCGTGGGATTGATGATTCGCTTACGATTATATTCTCGATCATTTGTCGTAATCCCTCGCCCGAACCAGCCGCTGACGGCGGAAGGTTCGCCGGGGATGTCTTCAGCACAATCCCCGGTTAAGTGCGGATAACCGTTGTTGCACTGCCTTGATGAAAAAGTAATATGCACATAAACGCGTGCACAAAATGGCTGCCGCGGGCAAAGCGCGTGACGCCGTAACCTCCATTTCCGCGATGGTTAAAGAAATGAGCGCTGACATGGCGCGTACAGACAGGACAAACTTGTCACTCAGGGATACCGCACGGTGAGTGTGATCAAAGTGCACCCCCAGGAAGGTGTACTGCGTAGCGCCCGATTCGCGGTCCTCCCCTATCGTGGCGCGACGGCCGTCCGCATTACGAAGCACTTGGGCTTCCCACAATGTCGCATCGCTCTTCGACACTGCAATGCGTATATTATCGATCCATACGACGACACGCACCAATGGAGGTGCAGCCCAGAGGGGGTGAACCACCGTCGTCACCCCCGCAATTGCCGAAGTAATAATCTGGAGGATTTCTGGGCTGGCCTTGTATCCCATTGGGAGCCGTGTCAGCTCCACCAGCGTGCCGTCCTCCACGCGGCACCGAAAGTGATGCCGAGTCTCCCGCGGTAAAGAGAAATGAAAAGGGGATGCCTTTAATTCCACGCAGGAGGCGGCCTCAGCCATCACAGGTGGCAAATAACGGGAAATGTGTAAAAGAGGAAAATTCGCCTCAGAAGGATCGTCTCCGTTTTTGTCGCGTGACCACGCGATCCGTCGTCGTCGTAAACCGGTGGTTTTCTCCTCCACAACCAAAAAAGGTATTATCCATCCGCCTGTTATTGTGGACGAAGCGTCCTCGATTATTCCTGCTGTTCGTAACAATCGCGTGTCAGCGGTTGGAATCCTCCGTGAGCCTTCGCACGCTTTACCTGAGGAAGACGGAAGGAAAGGGAACCGCCCAACGTGCCCACACACTTGCATAAGTCTCTCCAAGGTAGCCGAGCTCAACCGGCTCATGATCCACTCTAGATTCAACACGGGCACGTTGACTTGCTGTAGCGGGATGGTTCGTTCATCTTGTGGAATGGTCAGACGCGTCCTTGTCGCGCGTCTCGTTATTGTAGCGGAGTAAGGATGAAAATCATGAAAAAAACGCTCCTCTGCCTTCGACCAGGGTTCCTGCCCGTCCGCAGTGTCTCCCTTCACATCAATGCGGCCAGCGACGACACCTGGGTCGGCATTGTGGTGTACTTCTTCAAATATCGAACAGTATTCTGGGGAAGGTCGAACGGATTGACGTGCTTCGCCAACTGCGAGATCACGTGTGGATTCAAATTGTGCGTTTCCACGATTTGGGCAGCGTGCCGCGGCGCACCCTTTTTGTGGAATGCGCCGTGGCATTCCAATGAACCAGAGCTCGTTCGACTTTGGCGGTCGCAAGATTCGTGAGCTTTTCGTTTTCTTGAGGTGTCCTGCATAGCTTTATAGTGTCTAACGCGTCCTGCCCTCGTATCCTCACGAACCGCGGGGCGCAGTGGGGATCCGCTTTCGCCGTCTTTGACGCCACGGACCGATACAAAGTTAGGGTCCCGTCCGCCTCCAGTGTAAAATTTTTGAGGGTTAAGGCCGCAATCTCGGACCAACAACTCGCCGTTATCCACGCAAGTCGTAAGACAACACGTTCCTTCCAATCGGTCCGGCCGCCCAGTTTCATCAAAGGCGGCGGGCCGCGCCTGGGCGTTGCCCTGCCGGCGTGCCGGGACCGCTGCGCAGACACGATGGGGCTCCATTCCGCCGCCGTGCTGGGGGTCATCGCCGTATCTTTCACGAGCTTACAGGAATCGAAAGCGGCTGTGAAAATAAAAATAAAAATAAAAATAAGTACGAATCGTCTAGGAGTTATTGGTTCCCTGATTACTAGAATGGCGGCCGGCCAAGATTCATAAAATAGGGAAGAAGCCACGCAGCGTTCGCTTTATTAGGGTGTATGCGTTAAATCCGATAGCCGGCTTGTCGCGTAGGGGTTCTCTTCACAAGCTCTTAAAAAAATGAAATATATATGATGGAAGCGGCAGGAACGGTTGAAAGAAAAAGAAACAACAACAACAAAGAAATATGCCTTTATCGCATATATACAAACAACGGTGTGCGGATTACTCTGTCGCAGTGAATCGAGTTTGAGCTCAGTCAAAATTCTGAGATGGAGTAAAGTTTTGGGAAGAGCACGGACAAGTCAGAACAGGAGCAGAAAGGAAACAAAATCAAAGGCAAAAAACAACATGGGGTTGTTTTTTTGTTGAGTTTTCTTGCATTTTTCAGCGGAGTAACCGGCAATACTTTTTTTTGTCCGTTCAGTTGTCTTATTTGAGGGAGATTTTAATGTTGAATCTATTCCTAAAATGCGTACATTATTATGGTTCTTGGATGGGATGGGGATAATAACCTTTGTTAGGTGGATGATGATAAGAATACAGTACTCCAATGCGGCTATTTCTTTTAATTGAATGTTTCCTTTGTCTAAAATCGGCCAACAGTGGATTTTTTTTGGGGAAAAAAATTGCTCATGCACGTAAGCTTGGGTTTACTATATCGGATTCTTTATTTTCTTGCTGTGCGCTTTCATTAAATACCAACCTTTTTTTTTCCTTTTTTTTTTGTCTTTTCAATTTGTAAAGGATCTCAGGTATTATCATAAAACACCCTTTTTTGAGCCTATTCATATGTCTTGCGATGCTGAAGAACCTTCTGGTCCTATTCAGGTCCGCGTTGGCGTCGATCGCCGCAATTTCGCCTACGTTGACTTCACCAAGCACCGTCTTCACGAGGGGAAACCAGAAGTAATTATTACTGGTTTGGGACGCGCCATTTCTGATGCGGTTGCCGTAGTGGAAATATTGAAGAACCAAGGCCTCGTCACTGTGAAGAAAATTACTACTTCACGGGGCAATGTTAAATCTTCATCCACGTCAGTAATTGATAAGATTGAAATCTTGGTCGTGAAATCGAAGGAATTTGACAGTATTTACGAAGAACAACAAAAAAGAAAGGATGAAAGTGCTGAAAAAGGTCAGTAAACGTTTTTATTACATACATATAAATGATGTGTGCTAAAGGATAAAAAAACAAACAAACGAGAGAAGCGTTTATTTAAGGTCTAGGGGAAAATAACACCTGTGCGGATTGAAAGGATGACTTTCTGGAACTTTTTTCTTTTTCTTTTTTTTTTTTTAATTCTTCGTGTACGGAATTCCTTGCCAGGTGAACTATCTTTTTTTTTTTCTTTTTTTTGTTAAAACTTCTAAAGCATTGGGCATCTATATTTTCTATTTTTTTTTTTTTTTTATTCTTAAGAAAAGCAAGAATTAGCAATCAGAAGAAAAGAAAAAAAAAAAAAAAAAAAGAAAGAATCCACTCCACAGTCACCTGAAATGTCTGCCGAAAACGCTGAGCGACCCAAGAACGCGGTTCGTGTGGGATTTCATGGCTCCAAGTTCCTCTACGTCGACATTACCAAGCATTTGCTACATGATGGTGAAAAAGAGGTGAGCATCTCCGCTCTTGGAAAGGCTATTAATGAGGCCGTTTCTGTTGTGGAAATGCTAAAGGACCAGCAGATGGTTCTTGTGAAGAAAATCAGTACTTCCCGAGGAGGTGGTGAGGGCGCGAGGAACAACACGGTTGACAAGATTGAAATTGTTGTCACAAAGGCGCCTGGGTTCAACGAAAAATACGAAGAACAACAGAAGATGCGCGAGGCAAAGAAACTCGAGAAAGGAAATGAAAATGTCGCTAAGTGAGAGGCTTGCTGGTGGTTGACTTTTATTATTATTATTTTTACTAGTCTCCTAGCCATTTGTTTTTTGTTTACAAGGAAACAAAGCTTGAAATTAAGGGAAGGGGCAGCTATAGGAAATACAACGCAACTCAAAGGATTAGAAGTTGAATTGCCCTTGGTTGAAATATTAATAATGAATGGATTTTTCACAATATTATAATCCTATTTTATTTTTATGTTTTTGTTTATTTATTTATTTGCTTATTTATTTATCTATTTGTTTATTTATTATTGGAAGGGGTGCTGAAGATGGAAAACTATTTAATAGTTGAACTAATAGGCGAGGGATCGTTTGGCAAGGTTTATAAGGCGAGACGGAAGGGGACGGGCCAAGTTGTGGCGATGAAGTTCATCGTGAAAAAAGGTAAAAATGATAAGGAGCTCCTAAATCTTCGTAGTGAAATAGAAATTATGACAAAGCTTGATCATGATAATATAATTACTTTGTTTGAGGCGTTTGAAACCCAACAAGAGTTTGTTGTGGTGATGGAATACGCCCAAGGGGAGCTGTTTGAAATTCTTGAAGACGACAAAAAGCTTCCTGAAGACGTTGTTCAACGTATTTCGAAGCAATTGGTCCAGGCACTTTATTATCTGCATTCTAACCGTATTATGCATCGGGACATGAAACCCCAGAACATTCTTATTGGCCAGAATGGCTCAGTTAAATTGGCTGATTTTGGTTTTGCTAGATCAATGAGTTATAACACCATGGTGCTTACAAGTATTAAGGGAACACCCCTTTATATGGCACCGGAACTTGTCCAAGAGCAACCATACAACCACTGTGCGGATTTGTGGTCCCTTGGATGTATTCTTTACCAGTTGTACTATGGGAAACCACCATTTTGCACAAATCATCTTTACAAACTAATTAATCAAATTGTCAATGATCCCGTCAAATTTGAAGAACCTATATCACCGGATTTCAAGTCCCTTTTAAAAGGTCTTTTGACAAAGTCCTTTTCGGCGAGATTGAATTGGCCTCACTTATTGAACCATCCTTTTGTTGCTTTTGGTGAGGAGGATGGAAAGTGGCAGAAGACAATTAAAGAACACGAAATGGTAATGAAGGAACATATGGACCGATTGGAGTGCTTTCGACTCCGCGCTCAGCCAAGCAGATTTCAGCCCAACTCTTCAGGGCATACACCTCGCTCTACCGGGGTCTCGCGCCAGTCCTCCTTGGGTTCCAAGGAAAGTTGTTTATTTTCTGCTTCTTCGATAGAGATTATTTCTTCTTCAAAAAATTCACAGGAAATCATTGAAACTTTCAAGGGGCTTGCGACAGCAGCTGATACATTAACATCATCTCCTTCACAAAGTACTCTCTTGCTGGAAAGAATTCCACAAATGGGTATTTTAGGACCTACACTAAGGCGGATCAACAATGGGCAAACGATAGATATAGTTCGCTATGCATTAGAATTCATTCGGATACTTGTGTTTCCTGAAAATGGATCTGTTTTTCCATTTCCATCACAGTATCCTTCGGAAAATATAATGAGCGCCTTGCAAAGTAGAAGTGAATTTCCACCATTTGATTTTCTTATACGACAGCAAGTAGCCTTGGAGCTCATGGAAAAACCCCAGGAGGCACTTGATTTTATGATGAACGAATTCATTGAGAATCGGAAAAATCTTCGTGAGGATTGTGTTAAGGTAATTTTTCAATGTGTAAAATGGGGAACTGGGTTTGGAGCTGCACTGATCAAAATGAAGATTTTCCCCATTTTTTGGGCTTCGTTACTTGATTCCGTAAAAGAATCAACAGTAAGAAATGGAAGTCCTTTTCAGCTTTACGCGGCAGTTGCATTTCACACAGTTTCGGCTTTGGTCCCGCATATAAAGTTGTCTTCTCCCGACCAAATAAATGCACATAAGGTTTCTGAGTTTGTGTCTACTGGATTGACAGCTGTTTGCTACTACGACCCGTCTGCAAGTGGTGATATTGCTGCGCTTAATTGTGCAGCAGCAGCAGCTTTATTGGTAGCCTTCGTGCACCGGGAGATGAAGGATACCATTGTTTTTGAACCAGACTCTATATTGATGGATGGCTTGTGTGCTATCGTAGATGGTGTTCGTCGAATTTCGGATCAGCTTGTGGTGTCACGTGCTCTTGGGACAAGTTATGGGTTTGCTGATTATGGGTTGTTAGACGGTGTGACGCATATGTTGTCGGTTGTTTTTTCGGACCCAAAGTCAATCGTGTATCAACAAAATTTGAATTCCTTAAATAGAAATTTTCTTGACAATGACAAGTGGGGGTCACTTTGTACAGTGATTGGTCTCCTCCGTGATAGCGATTCCAAGGTTGAATTGTCACCGAACGGCGTGTTGGCCGCACTTCGTTGTGTTCAGCAGGCTTTGCAGAACCAACAAGAAGGAATGCAATCAATGAGCCTTTTGATAGAGTCTGTAGAACCTTACTATGGAGATGGTGGCGGCCCGATTTCCGTAATTGCAATTGTTTGTCGTCAGTTAAGAACAAAATATCTCAAGCAGCTTCGTTTGTGGCCGGAATATAGAGGAGGGGGAACTGTAGGGGTAAATGCCCATCTTACAATAGTTGTTCAGATTCTGTTGGTGACGTTTCAGCCGGCAAAGCAAGGTTCTAGATCGGATGATGATACTATTGCTGCTGTACAGCAAGTTCTTTACAAGGAAGGGGTTATGGAAATGCTTATTGCTGCGCTTGATTACACAGAAGTAGCGTTTTGGGGTCCACCATTTACGGTCATCATAAAGCTAGTTATGGGTTCACCATTATTTGCCAAGGCGTTTGTAGAAGGAGACGGTTTGCATCCCGAACGGATAAGGAAAGTCCTGGATTCAAGAAAGGCGAGTATTGGTCTTGTTTCGGACGGACTTAACGTGCTTTCACAACTGGCTCGTATATCCAGGGATTTTTATCCGCCAATTCATAGCGCAAATTTGTATGAAAGCTTTCTAGATCTTATGCGAAACAGAGATGCGGGTATTCGGAGCAAGATGTGTAACCTCCTTGGAAATCTGTGCAAACATTCCCCATATTTTTACGAACCCCTGGCAAAACACAAACTGATCGAGGCTCTTGTCGAGCGGTGTAGCGATGAGGATCCCACAACACAAAAGTTTGCAGCCTTTGCCGCCGGCAACGCAGCCTTCCACAACGATTTTCTCTATGAAATTCTTAGGCCATCGATCCCAGTCATTGTGAAACTCTTGTCTAGTAGTGATGAGAAGACAAGACAAAACGCTGCCGGTGCGGTCAGCAATTTTGTGCGAAATGGTGGCTCACTCACTTCTGCATTAATGGGGAACAGCGTTGTGGAGGCTCTTCTGCGGATCCTAAGGAAAGACAAGGTGGGGCTAAGGAAAATAGCTCTTATTACTATAGGCTCTTTTTGTGCATATGAGGAGTGTAAAAAGAAGTTTTTGTGGTTGGGGTTGGAGGATGCTTTAACGCAGCTTGAACAGAGCGATGCAATTGAAGCTGAGCCTTCAATAGCAAAGTATGTTACGAGGATCAAGCAGCGAATCGGTTCATCGTGATATGTCTTTTTATGTAGCTTTGAAAGGAAACAGAAAATGGGGTAATAAGAACTTTCTGGTTTTTTTCTGCCGTTTTTTTTTTTTTTTTTGCTTTTTGCATACGTTCCTATATGTCTTGGTGTTTTTAACTCCCTTTATTGTTTCTTTTCTCACGATCCATGCTTAATGAACACACACGCACAAAAATTAATAATAGAAAAAAACAAAAATTTTTTTTTTTTCTTGCTTTTCTTTTCTACGGTTTTTGCAGAGATTGGGGTGAGCATAAAAGGAACGGAGAGGCCAAGCAGGGAAAGAGAAGAAGGCAAACAAAAAGGAAAATGTCTGTTCGACCTCTTGTAGAAGATGTTGAGGAGATGTTTGGGAGAACAAAAGCGTACCTTATGAACGCCAACAAGGATGGCGTCAGCGTCTATGATCAACTCACCCGATTGATGGAGCAGTTGCTGGATGAGAACCCACATGACATTGCCGCTGACCCATCGAGATTTAACGAAATTTTTACCCTTTTGCAGCAAAGCAGCTTTGTGAATGGACAAAGTACCCCTGCGTGTAACGAGCCTTGTTCTGTCCCACCGTTTGAACTTGCGCGCCTTGCGGACAATGAACGCCTGTTTGATCGTCCGCCTCCTGAAACATTGACAACAATAGAACAGCCAGATCCATATACGACAGTTACAACAACACGGATAAAGCCACACACCGCTCCCCCATATGACTCTGTTGCTCAGCACAATCTTTACTGGGCTTGGGCAGGATGCGGTGTGACGGAAGAAGAAGCATTTTTACTGGATCGATCCATCACGATGCTGGCAATGGAAAAGAAGCTGAGAGATGTTCGCTTTTTTGGAAAAATTTTTGGCACAAAAGCTGACTACTACGTGGTTTCCAGTCAACGCTATGTTCAAGATGGAGAAAAAGTATACAAAGAAGTCAACACCATGCCTCGTCCTGCGCGACGCAAGTTGGAAGTACCTGTGCAACCTGAGCCGGGCTTTGTTGGAGTAAATCGACTCTCATTTTGGGTAACATCTCATCCTGCTGCCGAATGGAAGTTGCTTCCAGATGTGACACCACAGCAAATCTTGGCAGGGAGGCGGATCAAGAGGCTGTTTACCGGTGATTTAAATGCGGCTGTTATTGCCAGCCCCCCGTTCGAATGGAATGAAGCTGTTTACCTTCGTGTGCAGCTTAGCCGTATTGCCAGCGGGACATACATCTCTCCAATGGGGGCTCTTGAAGAGCCAGAGGAAGAGGTTGATGAGGAGGAAGAAGCCGAGGACGATGAGGGGGATGCTGCTAAGAAGCCCAGGGAGGCGAAATACCGCCCACTCACCCAACCAGTGAAGGGTTTTGCCTCAGAGGAAGATTCTGACGTCACACAGTGGGCGAAGCTTGATCAATGGGTTCACTCGGAAGGCTACATCTATGCCAATGGTAGGCAGACAAAGGTTCCAGAGAAGCAGGAGGATGAGGAGGAAGAGGAAGCAGAGGAGCTGCAACAGCAGCAGCAACAGGAAGAGGAAGAGGAGGAGGAGGAAGAGGAGGAAGAAGAAGAAGAGAGGGAACTTTTTACTCCTATTAACCTTGACTTCCTGTACGCGGTCATTAACATCCCAGAACCACCGAAGGTGGACGAGGAGGATGAAGAGGAGGAAGAAGAGGACGACGACCCCGCGGAGGATGCGGCGGACGCGGAGAAAGACTTTGACGACATGCCGCCAAAGCCCGTCACTGACGCTGATGTACCCGACGATGATCCGACGAAGGTAAAGATTGCCGCTTGGACAGTACGGGTCGTAAACAACAACAGCAAGAAGCATCGCGTGGTAGTGGTTCGTTCTTTGCGTTGGCCAGGCGCTGTTGCATTCGCCGCGGAGGGCGGCAAAAAGTGGGGCTGTGTCTATTTTGGTAACGGACTCAATAAGACAGATTTCAGCTTTACGCCCACGCTTGCCCCACCGGTGCTCCCAGAGTGTGGTGACATCACGGAGGTAGATGATCCCACACCGGCAACGGAGAAGTTGGTCCGCCGAGGTGAGGATCCACCAGAACCGGACTCTGAGGATGAAGTTGAAGAAGAAGAGGAAGAGGCGGAGGGAGACATGTAAAGAATCCATCGGAGCGGATATAAATATCTAGAGAAGGCAAGAATAGGGAGGGGGTTGGAGAATGTGTGTTGGTGGTTTTATCCCCTTTCTGGAGATGTATTTTTTTTTACGTGGGCTGACTTTTGATTCACTCACATTTTTCAAAGGGGAAATAAGAGAAAAGCCGAAGAAAAAGAAGAAAGAAGATGAAACGCCGACAATACACGCAATAGAACCGCCAGAAGAAATGGGAGAACCGAAAAGGAGCAAAAACAACAACAACAGCAAAAAAGAACGCGGAAAATCACCAAATTTTCCACCGTTTTTTCTTCTATTTTCATATGTCAATAAACGCTGTTTTTTTCCCCCTTTTTGTTTTTTCTCCGGTTATTTTCGCCATGTATGTTATCAATGAAATAGAGATGAGTACACCCGCGTCTTTTGATGACATTTAGTACAATCTGTGAAGTGTGTATATCTGTGCCTTAAATAGGCAATACTGTTGACCTTTTCTTTTAAACTCATTATAATTATGGTCATCACTTCCTTTTTTTTTTTTTTTTATCTTTTGCCTGCTTTGTGTGCAGAAGCAACCTCTGGCAGTGTTGACCACTGTTGCTGCTACCGTCACTAGGCCACGCAGGTTTTACGGAAACGATAAGAAGAAAAAACAGCTGGTCCATCAAAAAGCAAAAACAAAACAAGAACAATAAAGGTAAAAAAGGATGCAAAACGTGAGACTCTTTTTGCGCATCTTGACTTTTACTGGCTGCTTTGGTGGCACCAACAGCAGATGTGGCGGGTTTGCCTTTCAATTATCGTACCGTTTTGGCACAAGTGTTGCTGGTACTTACTACTCCGAATCGGATGTGGCTCCTGGGGGGTCAATGAACAATGATATGCGCTTGGGGCTTGTGATTAAACCACAGAGCACGCTTGTTGAATTATGGGAGCAGGCTGTGAAGGTGTGGCCATTACGGCGTTTTCTTGGAACAAAGATGTGGGTGCGTGGCCAATTGGGGTATGTTTGGGCCACATATGAGTCGATTGAGACGGAAATGGCTGCAATGAGAACTCTCCTGCACAAGATGGGGATTGATAAGGGTTCTCGAGTTGTTGTTATCAGTGAAAACCGCTATGAATGGGTGGTTGTTCACTTTGCAACGCTACAACTTGGAGGCCACTTTGTAGTTTTGCCGACCAATGTGACTCCCATGGAGGCACAACAGGTATTAAAAAGCACGCAGGCTAGGGTGTTGTTTGTTGAGTCTACGTCCTCTTACGCCGCTGTGAAAGGGTGGATTGGAGAGGTGGGAGAGCTACAACATGTGATTTGCTTTGAGGACCAAATTGGTGAAGGTAGCTACGCTGTGGCAATCAATATAGCATCGGATGTGCCGGAAAAAATTCCTCCACGAAATGACATCACCGCGGAGGATACCGCCATGATTATGTTTACCGCGGGCACTACTGGACCTCCAAAGGGTGTGATGCTTTCACACCGAAACCTGGTGGCGAACATTAGTTCCATTTATGCGCACGTTGGCGGGGCGCTGACGCACACCGATTTATTTATGTCTTTGTGTTCCTGGTGTGTAGCTGGTGCAATCACGGTTGAGTTGTATCAGGCAATTTGTAAAGGGGCTTGCATTTGCATCCCACCTGAACAACTCGAAGGTTTTCAGGATCTTCCCTTAGTGCAACCAAGTGTCATTACTTCTGTCGCGCTACCTTTCCAGAGGGCTTATGCCAATATGGTTGACGATATCATGAATCGTGGTAGTTTAACAAAGGATATAACACGGTTTACACTTGGTCGCATAACAGAAAATCGACTAATGCTTCAGAAGCCAGGTCAAATGCTACGAGTTGCGTCACATGTATTGCTTGGAAAGTTCAAGGAACAGTTTGGAAAGGAGCTTCGTATTGCCTTTATTATTGGTAGCCAACTGACGCGTGATCAGATGGAATTGCTGGCAGACCTAGACGTGTTTACTGTAAGCACATACGGGTGCTTAGAAGCCGGTGGTCTCATCGCCACCGACATTGACGTGCCACTCCGTCTCAAGGCGCTTCCAGGTATCGAGGTTCGTGTTGTGAATGAAAAGAACGAGATTGTCGCACCAGGAGATATAGGTGAGCTGCTTGTGGAGGCTCCACACGCAATGCAGGGGTACTTTGACATACATATCGATCCTGACGAGGCGAAGAATTCACTTGTTGCTTATGGTGGTAGGACGTTTGTGCGAACTTCTGACTACGGCTCCGTGACGGGTGGATGGATATCAATCAAGGGGAACAAGGACGTTCTTATTACGCTCGCCAATGGCGCAGTGGTGGATCCATTAGAAGTGGAGGGAACACTCATAAAGAGTCCTTTTATTAGGCAAATCTTTGTGCACGGGGAAAACCGCCCTTACCTAACGGCGTTAGTGGTTCCGAATGCTAAGGCCATCGCGTCACACCTACGAAAGGTGGAGAGACGAGACGGCGTGCCCATTGTGAGCGAGCGCGAAAAGGCAGACTGTATTCGGGCAGAGTTGCGTCGCGTTTCGCAGGGTTTGCCATCACGGTCACACGTTCGCCGGTTCGTCTTTATAGAGGAGTGTACCCTGGCTAACGGCTTCATTACATGCAAATATGGTTTTGCTCGACGGAGAATCGAGAAACATTACGTTCACTATTTCAACGCTATGTACGATGAGACGCCAAAATTCTTTGGGCATGCTGTGGACGATTACGACGACTTGTTTTAAGAGCTGAGTGTGAGTCTGATTACCGCAGTTGCATAGGGGGAGGAGAAAAAAAAAAAAAAAAAAAAGGAAAAATGTGGGTAACATTTTTTTCTTGTCTTTTTCTTTCTGTGTTTTGATATTGTGGGTTGTTTATTGTAGGGCTTTGTTCTGCTGCGCTCGGCGTATATTTTTAAATGTTTTCTCCCGAGATGTGTTTTGCTTTTTCTTTTTTTTTAAAGAGTGCCATTTAGCAAGGAGTCGAGTTTTTCTACGTGCGTGCGTGCATTTGTCTGTGGAGAACGAAAAAAGAGGGCTTCCTGTGGGAGTTGGGGTAAGGGGTAATAGGCATTAGACAGGGGAGCGGATGAGTCTCTCGGCGGCCACTGTCCTTTATAATCTTGCGGAAAAGGCCAATCAAATTGACAATGTTCAGGAATTGACAGTGATCCTCCAGCAACAGTTTGTGGAACTTTTTCGAGGTGGTGAGATGCCGTCAAGTCCATCGAAGCCTAAAGCCAGTTCTTTGGCATCCACAGAGGAGGAGAAGTTGTTGGCTGTTCGGGCTGTGGAGGCGTTTCATAGTGTGGGATTGCAGCGTCATGGAGTGTTTTTCCAAAGCGAGTCGTACCACACAAACGCCGCCTTCTTCATTCATGAGTTGTTGGCCTCCCTTTCAGGTTCTAGACAGATTTGGTTTCAAAAACTACAGAAAGCGAGCCTCCACGCATGTGTAGCTGTAGTGAAAGCTATCAGTTGTAGGAACACACGACTCTGTCTTCCTGGGATTGTCTCGGCGTGTGTGCATTATATTGACCGCGCGCATCACGGTACAGATGCTGTTGCCGTTCGCACCGGGGCGGTGGAATTACTGCGCGTATCTCTGAAGGCTTCGCTGGTGTCGCAAGGGGATGACACGCAGTGGTTGCAGAGTACAGTGGGCCATTTGGGGCATAGTATGACTCGGTTGCTGGATCCCAGCCGGCTGGCACTTGGGGCAAAGACGCTTCCATTCGCACAGTCCCTGCTGCATCTTACCACGGATTTGCTACTTCTCCCATCACTCGGCACATTTCTTGACACACCATTCATGCGGGAGGTCATTGTCGGTTGGTTTGTACTCTCAAACGTGAATTTTCTTCTTAGTGGCGGTGTTTTTGGTGGCGCTACTGATTCCACTACCCAAATACCGAGCGGATTTTTTCAGAAACGCGCGGTGGTAGAGTTGCTTCAGGCACAGTTGAAGAAACTGCGTGGTGTGGAGCTGCTGCACTTTTCTTCAGCGCTGCTTCGTCGCAAGGACACACGTGCCACAGCATTCCCAGTGGAGGACCACAGCCAACATCTAATGCATCGTGTGCTCCAGCGATGCATTCAGGTGGTGGGAACGGAGATGAGCGTGGAGGATCTCTACAGTGCCAAAGTTTCGCGCAGTTACCCGTGTATTGTGGGGGATACGTTTATCGAGTGCGCTGCGTACGCGGTAACGACGACGACAACAACAACAACAACATCAGAGGATCCGGCAGGATGCGTCACGGTAGGGGAGCAGGTATTGAAGGATTTCATGGCTGAGTGCGAGGCAACACTGGCGGACTGGGACCTCTACATGCTACACCCACCAACTATTTATGTTCTTACACGCCTTGTGCTGTGGCAGTTTAGGACCCCAGCGTGGGTGACGGAGGAGGAGGAAAAAGGGCGACCTGCGGAGGAATTTATACTATCCGACACTTTTGAGCAGCTATGGAGCATTGTTGCACAGCCACACCTGTGGAACATCACCGAGGATGAAAATCTCTGCTCGTACCAGCAGTTGCGTCATAGGCAGACGGTTGCGGCGACGATTTTGTGTTTTTTGGAGACTGCCGCGGGGCTGTTGCGCGACGAACCAGTGATTCATAGGGCGAAGCGAAAACGAGCAGTACAGAGATTGAACTTGCTGGTGTTGTACATTGTGCTGGAAAAGGCGACGGGCCCAACTTTTGTACGCGATGCTGCCATGGGAGTCATGAAGGCTCTTGGAGAGGCGGGGTTTTACCCAGACACGCTTGCCTTCTTTCTGAGCCAGAGCGGGTATATCGTTGATGAGGCTGCGCGTGCCTTTACGGAAGAAGATCTTCGTGTTTCCGCAGCCAGCGTGTTACGTGGCGGCGTCAGTTTTCTTCAGAGCAAGCTGTTGTCAGTTCCCGGGAAGGAGGAGTTTACTGCCATTACATCGCGGCAGTGGGTGGACGTTCCGAGAGGCCGCAACCCAGCGGCGGTTGTGTTGGTAACTTCTGCCGTTCCCAAAGTCTCAGATTTTGTTTCTTCCGCCGTAAAGGTTGCCTCCGATGGATGTCGACGTTCGACACTGCAGGAGGAGACCGCCGGTGCGCTTGCCTCCGTTGCGCTGCTTTTAGACTGTTTCAGCGTGAGTGCGGCACTCAACCGCTCCGTCCCACAACTTGGAATCCACGAGGATCAGGACTGCATGACCACCGCGGCGGAGCCACGCGTCCAGATTCTTCAACTTGCTGTTCTGGAGGCCGTGCAGATGCTATTGGCATACTGCACGCGGAATGACGCAGTGGCGCCTCTCGCGATTTCTGCTGTCACGCGTGGCCTCACGGTATTTCTTACTACCCCCAGGGCGGAGACGTGGATACATGAGACAGAAAGCGATGGCGATCAGCCACCACCTGTGTTTGAATGGGAAGATAACACCCCGGCAGTACTTCCACGCAACCACCTGCGCACGGTGTACCAGGTATATCTATCCTTTTTGGCGATTCTTGCAGAGCCTGTCTCCGGATTTACCACCACGAGCAACTCGAAGCGGCTATCGGCGCAAGAACGCCGCGTACTTGAGGCCGTGCAGCCTACTCCCGCAGTGATAGCGGCAATGGAGGGACTAAAAGCACTCTTTGCCCTCGCGACAGACTTTTTGTCGCGGCGAGTTGTTGAAGAGGTGCTCCCTATTGTCGTCACGTGGCACAAACGTGGGGCATTGCCACGCATTCCCACAAAGACAGATGAAAGGCTACAGACCGCTGCCAAGAAGTTCTTGCAAGACGCGTGCGTCATTGATCCGTCACTGGAAAAGCAACTGCATGCAGAGTGCGCCTTTTTGCTTCCACCTCTTGCTTCTGTTTCAGCGGCGATTACAGAGGAATCATAACCTTCTTTTTTTTTTTTAATTTTTTCGTTCTTTTTATTGAATTTGTCTGGTATATTCGTGCATGTATAGACATCCATGAATATATTAATGTCTTTATGGATCCTTCTCGTGTTATTTTTTTTCTTGTTTTTTTTTTATGGACACTTATTTCTTATGGAAGGGTTGGGGGTTTTCTCATGTCATCCACGCACGATGCCGCAGTGCCACTCCCGCCGGATATATTGGCTGCCGTCGATCCGCTCTTCGAGGTGCTGGCGGCGTTTCCGCTGCCACAGCTACTGACGACATCGGCACCACCAGAGCTCCGCGGTGTGGCGTGTGACACGACACAGGTGCCTGATGACGTTATAAAGAACACTGTCATGGAGTCCGCCCGCACTCTCATGGCATCTAGCAGCTACATGACACTGCGCCGCAGCGCAGAGAGGGGTGAAGAAGACAGCAACGAGAAAGGCACTTCCCAACTCTCTCCTCTGGCGCGACGCATTCATGAGGGACTGCTGCGCATAGAGATAGATCACATTCACAGCATAAGCGGTATGAGGAACATTGAGGCGCCCTCCAAGCAGGCGAGGTGGGCACACAATACGGAGCGTCGCATGGAGTTACGCCCGCGTTCCGCCCTTGATTCTCACGATCAAAAGGAGGGTGAAGCAGAAGCAAGACGAGTTGCTAAGGTGCCGAAACTCGAGCCGAAGCCCAGCCTTACAGCACCGGTTTTCTTGCATGATCCCGAGTTTTCAAATGCTGAGCGCAAATCAGAGTTGTCCTGCTCTTCGACCATCTCAGATATCATTGAAAAGGGACTGCAGGGAGCCCACTCTCTCGAGTCTCTTCTAGGCGTTTTGTCAGATGCACCGCAGCCTTTCAAAAACATTCCTGCAGATCGTCTCACGGCTTTTGTGTCGTCATTAGTGGCTCTACCAGAAGAGAATGCGACGTCCTGCACGGAGTTTGTGATTCCCGTGTCTGTGATGCAGCGAGCATTGGCCTGCTGTGCGTGCATTGCCCATCCTTCCTTTGAGCCTTCTATTCTCGCAGAGGATACCGTTGATCACCTCATCACCATTCTGGCCGCTTTAATCCGCCGCATCAAAAAAAGACACTCGGCTCATGTCCCTGACGACGCCAGCGGTGGGACTGAGCTGGAATGCCTGCGGAGTATGCTGAACTGCTTTGCAGTGATTGTGTCCGACACCCGACTGAATATTTGTGTTCACGGAGACCTGCTGCGTTTGGAGGACCTTTGTTTCCAGTGTCTTTTTGTCATTACAAATGCCTGTGGACGACAGGAGGTAACAAACTACGCTGCATATTTGTTGAGCCATGCACTGTATCTCTACTCCGCTCTTTGGAACAGGCTGGAGACACAGCGCGAGACAACATGGGTGCGTTTCTTCCCCCGGCTGCCAAATGGTGAAAATCTTTTGCTACGCCTGCATCTGCTTCCGTCAGGCGTGAAAACAATGGCGCTCACGCCGGCTGTGGTGGCCGCAGCGCAGTCGCTTCCCATCGTCACCGGAATCAACACAAAAAGTTCTGCAGAAGTTTTGCAGCAGCAATGTTGCGCGTGGTCAAATATGTTTTTCCAGCAATTTCTCCTAGTGGATAGGGAGGAAAAGAAGGAGCGCGACATGTGCAGCACAATTGCCTTGCAATTCTGTGAAGATTTGGCAAACATGGTGGGACTACCGGAGTACCCTGTGGCAGACATGCTGTTGCGCTCCCTTCTAGTATCTTTTGCGCAGTATTGCCTATCTTCCTCCGCGACAGAGGGGCTACGAGCACTCTTCCTGGATGTTGTCTTTAGTGTGTCTTGTGTTGTTTTCAGCGCCACGCAGCAGAATGTGCTGCACTCTGCGCCTCCAGATTTTTCTGTTCTGACGGATGCTCAACTGCGAGAGTGGCGCCATCTCACACACCCCGGCGAGGCGGCGATAGATACGGAATTACCACTTCCCGATGATGAAATGCGGCGTGCGCTGCTCTACATGGCTCTCTCGCACCGCGTTGGTGATCCTGCGCCTCATGTTGCAGCCGCTTCTCTTCACTTGCGCGCGGCGCACATCTTCACGTGGGCCCTTCAAGATGAAGCCCGCTTCCCGCATGCCGTTTTGGAGCCATTACTGCACACAATGCACGTGGCAGATGGTGGAGTTGCTGTTGACTGGGGCGTCCTACATGCGTGCAGTGCGCAGTTGTGTGCTGCCTTTGAAAAGTCTTTATTGAGTGCCATGGCGAAAGAACGACTGCCGTCGTGGCTGATTTCTGTGTTCCAACTGCGAGAGGAGCAACACATTGCGGGACTTGAGGCATCACGCAAAAAGGCTCTCCAACACATGGCGAAACTTACCAGACTGCATCCACCACTACTTGCAAAGATTTGGCCCATCGCCCGCCGTTGCGTTCGCGACGATAACGCGCGCGTGCGTGAGGCCATCATTCCGCTTTTTCTCACGCTCTTCTCGGAAACGTGCGGGAGCGGTGACGCCTCTTCCCGCGTGGAGGAGACGGCCACTGAGGTCATCAGCTCTCTTTTACACCTCATTAGTGATCGCAGCGTGGCTGTTGTCACGCGTGCCATCACGGCTCTTGATACAATACTTACAGACATTTCGTTTAGACGTTTTTTAGAGACGTCAGCGAGGGGAGAAAACCTACTGACTTTTACAGAGTCCAAATTGCTGGCGATGGTTGCCTCGGCGAAGGAGAATCGACATCAAACCTGTGTGATGCGACTTTTCCTGCACCGTTGGGTGGGGCAGGAGAGCGTCGAAATCGCCGCCCACCACACACGTGTGCGCGTAGCAAAGGAACTGATGCGCCTCACTGTAACGAACATGGCGTACCCGTACGAGGTACCGGAGTCACTACACCTTGTCAAACTTCTGCGCGGAATGTGTCGTTTGACGGAGGGGCGTGAGATGTCGGGGCGTACCACAAAAAACTTGGGGGTAGACTCTCTGGAGCTCTGTGCCGTCATGATTGGAGCCGCCAAGGTGCTGTGGACGGAGCACCAACGACTGATGCCGTCACCAGAGGCCGCAGCTGCACTCGCCGCCATTAACGCTCTTGCAATGGCATGTAGTGAGTGGATAGAACCACTACTAGAGGTACTTGCACAGATCCTTCTGCAGTCTATAACGCTCCCGTCACCATCATCATCATCATCGTCGCAGGCGGTGGAAAGGGAGGCGATGGGTGTCACATTACTGCATGTGTGTCGGATCTTTCGGACAGTGTTGTTGGCGCCACGCGCCCCACCGCTCTCACTGGACACACTTGCGCGTGCTCTCACCACCCTATTGTCAAGATATGTCGGACCACACCAACAACAAATTCTTTTGTCAGCTAGTGGCGCTCTAACGGCTACTATCACGTGTGGTGGGGAAAAGCTTTCACAGTATGCCAATACAAAGTACCTGCTCCTCTGCTACTCCCTTATGAATACCTATTACGTGCGTACTATGTCGCTTATTTCGTCACTTCGCACGGATCCACAGAGTGTGGCGTACACACTACGATTTCTTTTTCTTCTTTCGGAGTTTTGCGCCAATATCCTGAGTGGAGCGGCATCATCAGG